ACAAGAGGAAGGGAAGAAAGGGTCTGAAGGCAAATAGTAGGGGGCATGAATATGATCAAATGCACTATGTATATTTTACTCTCCCCCCGCAAAGACATGTGAAACCAGAGGGAGGGGGGACGAGGAGAGTGACGGGGAGAATGATTACAGAATGGTGTGCCCAGGTAAACATCTGCAGAAATGAAACTGATTAATCCATATAGCCAAATGGAGTAATAAAAATGTGGAGGTGGGGGAGAAGAGAAAAAACAAAGGCAATAATCAACACCGGCAAAAATGTGGGAAAACTGGACCCACCAGATGTTGCTGCTGGGGAGGTAACATGGGATCACCACGTTACAAACTCTGAGATTTCTCAAAATATTGGGCATAGCATCATCTGATCTTGAATTCCCTTCCAAGGTGTATTCCTCACAGGTGTAAAACCAAAAACCTATTCCCCCTCTAAAACTTATACATGAATGTTTATAGAAATGGAATTATTCATAATAGCCCAAAGTGAAATAGTCTAAATATCTACAATTTTGTACAAGGATAAACAAAATGTGACCCATCCGTGCAGTCATGTAAAGAACTGAAGCACTGATATACACAGCCACAGGGAGGAACCTCAGAATATTACACTAAGTGAAAGGAGCTGGGAACAAAAGACCACACATTGTACAACTCAGTGCAGACAAATTATCCAGAAAGGACCAATTTATTGAGACAAAATGGGTTAGTGGTTACTTAAGGGCTGAGTGAGGTGGTGAGGAGTTTCTTTTGGGGGTGAGGGAAGCTTTCTAAAATTAGATGGCAGTGATGGCTGCATATTTCTGTAATTGTACTGAGTATCATTGCATGGGGTAATTAGTGCATTGTTTGATAGATAAACTATAGCTTAATAATAAAACTGTTAAAAGAAGGGTCTATTACACCAGCTAGAGACGGATAACTGCTAGTCCCCAAATAGTCTGATCACAGGCCTTTCCTGTCTACTGTGAAACACAGCCTTGGAGAGAACCCAGCATGGAGTACATTTACTACCTCTTCTCTTTGTCTAAGAAGTATGGGCAGGAATGACCAGGACCAGCTTGGCTATAGATGGAGGCAGCTCTTGACCAAATAGCTTCAGTGATAGCTGATGCAGAGGCGAGAGAAAGACCCTATCATAACACCTCCACTGTGATTGAGATAGCAGTGAGTCACTATACCTCCTAGATCAGAGACATGGCTCACAAACCTGGCCAGCTATTCATCCAGAACAGAATTTGCAGGACTGGTAGCCAACTAATTAACTGTTGCATCAATAAAATCAAAGGTTGATCATCTCATGATGAATTACATTGTTTCAAAGAATTTAACAGCTGCAACAAAGGAAACAAAGGAAATCAATATACAAGAGAATTTACTCAGCCTAAAAGCAGAATTTCCTAGGGACTGAGGTCATAGTGAGACAAATCCTTACTTATCTTACTTATCCACCAGCTCGTGCACACTTACTTAATATTCAGGATTTAAAACTAGCAAAGGAGAATGTTGCACCACACAAGTAATAGAAAGTGGATGGCACAAGATTTAGCCTCTGAGCTAGGAGTGGTGGCACATACCTGTCAACCCAGCACTCATGGAGGCTGAAGCAGGAAGACCCACGTTTGAGCTTAACCTGGGCAATTTAGTAACCTAGTAAGACTCTGTCTCACAATTTAAAAAAAATTTTTTTACAGAGGACTGGGGATGCAGTTTAGGTTGAAGGTCTTGGTTTAAATTTCCAGTACTGAAAAAACAAAACAAAATGTAACACTTAAGACTTTGAACAGGAAGGGCTTATTTTGGAATGCCAAATATTGCTCTTCCTAGCTCAGGAGCTGGTTTTTCACACCTGCAAAATGGCAAAGCAATAGGATGAACATCTTGATGTTTTCAGAGGAATAAATTAGATAAAAAGGAGTAACGTTGCAGCACTTGCCAAACAGAGATCCAATAAACGTTTGTGATTGGTGAAGGAATATATTTTTCTTATTAAGATGTTTGCAGAAGCAGTCATCATTCCCCTCCCTCATGGCAGGTGATGTTGCTAATTTTTAAAAATTTAACATCACATTTAACATACATTAGAACAGATTTTTTGATGTGTCATTCTATGAATGTTAACATATGTATAAATGTATGTAAATAACACCACAATCAATATGCAGAATATTTCCATTACTTGACTACAATTTTCTCTTCTGTCTTTTGCAGCTATATCCCGCCTTTTCCCTATTTCCTGGCAACCACTCATCTGTCGCCATCCCTACAACTCCTTGCTTTACAGGACATTTTGTAAATGGAGCCCCAGAGTGTGTGACTTTCTGAAATTGGCTTCTTGCATGTACTGTCACTCCGTTTCTTTTTATCGCTGGGTAGTAATCTGGTGTGCAGATATAACACCAGGGGTCTGCTCACTCACCAAAGGGCCTTTGAGATGCTCAGTTTGGGGAAATTATGAATAAATCTGTGACACATGATCATGTACAGGTTTTCACGTGGACAAATGTCTTCCTTTCTCCAAGCTAAATACCAGGAATGGGAACTCCGGGTCAAGTGCTAATACGTGTTTCAGTTTGGAAAATATGGCCAAAGTTTTCCAAAGTAGCTGTATCACTTCTACTTATGCTGGCAAAGCATGATACTATTCATTCATTTACCTGGACCTCAAACTTGATGTTAGTAGTGTTTTCCACTCTCAATTTCAAGGAAGTGTTTAATATTACACTCTAATGTGACGTGATGAAACTATTATTTTATTTGCCTTCTTTATAGTTTGGAATATATATATATATATATATATATATATATATATATATCCACTCAAAAATTCCATGTGCTCAGAGATTGGCTTTTGGAGGTGATTGGCCTGTGGGAAGAATGACTCCATCAATGATTAATCCATCACTGTGCTCATTGCTAAATGGACTATTAGAAGGTGGGACCCACTTGGAGGAATTAGGTTAACTGGGCAAGACTCTGAACTGTATAACTTTTCTCTGGCTCATTCCTGGTCTCCCCACTTCCTGGCTTCCAGGAAAGGAACAACTTTCTTCCACCAGGGCTTTCTACCATGATGTTTCTGCCTCAGAAGCAAAAGCTATGGCCTGGAAACCTCAGAAAGTATGAGCCCAAATAGACCTTTCCCCCCTCAAGGTGTGTTTGTCAGGTATGTTGTCTCAGCACCAGAAAGCTGACTAATACACTTTCATCTACTCTCTACGGCAAAGTGTTTCTTGTAGTTTTTTGCCCATCTTGTCACTGAGTTGTTTTCTGAGAATTGTGTTTCAAGTTCTTTACCACATTCTAGATGCAAGTTTTTTGTTGTATATGTGATTTTCAAATGTTTGTGCTTATTCTGTATTTTGTCTTTTTATTGTTTTAATACCATTTTTCGCAGAAAACAAATTTAAATATTGATAAATTCCAATATCACTTTATCTTTTATGGAGTGGCTTTTAGTGTCCTTTATAACAATAACTGCTTGCCTAAGCCCAGGTTATAATATCTTCTCTGATAGTTTCATTTAAAGGTTTTACAGTTTTGTTTTTGACATTAAAATATATAAACTACTTTGAGATAATTTTTTGTATAAAGTAGGAAATGGGGCCAGGGATATAGCTCAGTGGCACAAGCGCTTGCCTGGCAAGTGCAAGGTCACAAGTTTAATCCCTGGTACCAAAAACAAACCACTATGTACAATAACAACCCTAGTTATGCTTCTACCACCTCATTTTGAAGGCCTATATTGTCCATGTTTTGGGCTCTTTGCTATTGTTATTTATTTATCTTTGTTGTTCAGCGTTTTTCTAGTAATTTGTTTTGTTTCATTTTTCTCTCTAATACAGAAAGGATAAGTACAAATGTAGAGACTTAAACATGCATACTTCTCCTAAACAGTTTATGAGAATTGATTATGTAATGCATGATGAAATAAACAGTTACTTTGAAGAAGAAGAGACACTATGGTATCCAGTACTGATTCCGTAGTGTCATGATATGAAATTCAGTAGCACCATTATTCTTTGTTCAGAGTGATGTTAGCCTGTTTTGTATTGTTTAATTTCAACATGTGTGAAGGTTTTGAAGAGAACAAGAGACATTATGGCAGCCATTGTTGATTTCCCTCTCATCTGGTTTTGAAGGCCTATAATGCCTTCATCACTCTGTTCTGTTCAGCTTAATATTATTTTGTTTTGTATGAATTTGTTGTGTGTGAAGATATAGGTAACTATTTAGAAGAAAATAAGAGACATTATAGTAGCCAGTGATGATCTCTTGTTGTCTTGCTTTGAAATCTGTGTCACTTACATTGTTTTCTTCCGATCGGCTTCATTCTGTTTTATGTTTGGCTTTACCCTCTTTAAAATAAAATTAAAGAAAAACAAAAATGGTGGTTTATAGTACAAGGTAAGAAATGTACTTTAAAAATATTTTCTTTTATGCGAATATTCAGTTTTTTGATTTGTAGAAAATCCTTTATATTGCCTTTGGATTTTTCCAAAAATCAACTGAGCATATTAAACCGAGTCCTTGCCTGGACTTCTGTCCTCTCCCACTGTGTGTGGACCTACCTTTCTCAATCTTGTACTGAGTTGCTATAATTTTAAATTAAGCCTAAAACTTAGTGGTATGATTATTCTATTTTATTGTTGTTTTCAAATTACTTTGGCTATTCTAAGCCATCTGATTTTCCATATGCATTTTTAAATTTAGGCTGGGTCTTATTTTAGAAATCTTTTAAACTGTATTTAAGGTATGTTCTTCCTTAGAATGGCTATAATTTAAGAAACAAACAAAAAATTGACAAATGCTGGCAAGGAAGTGGAGAAAGGGGTACTCTTATACACTGACAGGGATGTAAATTACTATAGCCATTTTGGAAAACAGAATAGAGAGTCTTCAAAAACTTAAAAATAGAATACCTATGTGATCCAGCAGTTCCACTGCTGAGCATTTATCAAAAGAAATGAAATCAGCATATCAAAGCGGTGTCAGTATCCTCATTTTTACAGCAGTAATATTCACAATAGCCAAGACATACGATCATCCAAGGTATCCATCTGTGGATGAGTAGATTAAAAAAACATAGCAAATGCACATGAAGAAATACTATTCATCCATTAAAAGAATGAAATCCTGTCCTTTGCAGCCACATGGCTGGCCCTGGAGTTCATGTTAAGTGAAGTGAGTTAGGCAGAGAAAGAGCAACATCCCATTATCTCACTTATACAAATGTGGTGAGTGTTTCCATTCTTTTAAAAAAATTGTTGTATTAAAAGACACATTGCCAATAAATCCCTTCAAAATACTCCCCCTCACTTCACACACACACTTATCCCATTAGCCGTGCCACTTTCTGAAGCGGTTTTGGAAGTCTTTAGTGTCTTTACAAAGTGTGATCAAAAGCTTGATGAATTCTGCTGACAAGTGCCAGCCAACAGAAAGGAGGCTCATAACATGATTATGTGTTCTCATCCACCTTGTTCACCAGATCTGACACCACACAACTCTCGGCTCCTTTCCAAAGTCAAAATGATCAAAAAGGTAAACATATGTAACAGATTCAGGACATCAAGACAGCCATGATAGCACAATTGAAGACATTCATGAAAGAAGCTTCTGGAACTGCTTCAGAAAGTAGCAAGAATGATGGAATAATTGTGTTCAAAGTGAGGGGAGCTACTTTGAGGAAGATTTATGGCAATATGCCTCTTAGACTAACAAATTATTTTAAATTTATACAAACATTTTTTTCCCTGGGATTTGAACTCAGGGCCTCATACTTGCCAGGCAGGTAGTGTGCTGCTGAGCTGCATCCCCAGCCCACACACCATATTTTTCAATCATCCCTCATATATGGAATCTAAAAGTAGTTGAGCTCAAAGAACTGAAAAGCAAACTAGAGGTTGCCAGAGGCTGGAGAGAAAGTGAGAAGGAGGATAGGGAAAGATTAATTGTATTACAGCAAGATGAAAGGACCATGCTCTGGTGTTGTATTATACAGAGGATGATTGTAATTAGCAATGCTGTATTACAGAATTTAAAATAACTAGAAAGGAAGATTTTAAATGCTCCAATTACAAATAAATAACAAATATTTTGACATACTGGAAAATCCAAGTATTGTGACCATTACATAACACATAAATGTGTAGAAACATCACACTGTATCTGATAAAGATGTATAATCACTACCTACCAACTAAAAAAACCATGGATTTCATTTATTTTATAGTTTCAGGTCTTTTCAGATACCTACTTCATCTTGGTGAATTTGGTACTTTTTTAAAGAAATAGGTCCATGTTCAGCTTGAAAATATACTTATTGCATTATTTGTGGGGCTTCTAAATATCTGAAGGCTATTCCTTTATTCTTTCCTAATATTGGTAATTTGTGTCTTCTCAAAATTTTGTTTATCAGTCTTGCTAGAGATTCATCAAATGTTTGCTCTTTTTAAAAGCACCTGTGTCTTTTGATATCAGTGATTTTCCATATTGCTTGTCTGTTACCAAGTTCATGAATAATTACTCATAAACATTTCTTTGTTAAAGCAACTATAATAATATTATTCTACCTGTGTGGCACTTTTATGGCTTACTATTTATATATTAAAGTGCAAGCTTTGAATATTGATTTGTGACCCTTCTTGCTTTTTTAATGTAAATATTAGTTGCTACAAAATTTGCTATAGACATGGCTATATTTTCATTTCATAAATGTTGGTGTGTCATATTTTATTTTCATTCAGTTTTAAATATTTCCTAAAGTTCTTTGAGATTTATTTTTTAATTATTGGGTAATGCAAGAGTATTTAAATTTCCAAGTGTCAGAGTTTTTTTGTTATCTTCCATTTACTGATTTTTAGCCAATTATGTTATCATGAGACAGCATACTTCGACCATTTTCAAGCTTTTTGTGTTCAGGTTTATTTTATGAGTCAGGATAGTTTTCTCATGGTGAACACTGCACATGCATTTGAGAACTGTGTTCTGTTATCATAGTCAAACTGTTCTCCAAATATCAGGTGGATCCAGGTTCTTATGGTATTATTGTCTGGATTTTCTAAAGCCTTATTGATCTACTACAAGTTCTATTTATGATCAGAGAACTATGGTGAAGTATTTGTCTATTTATCTTTACTTTAGCTTTTGCTTATGTATTTTGAAGCTCTGCTGCTAGGTGAATACATATTTAATATTTCTGGTGAATTAATCTTTATCATGTAATATTTCTCTTTATTCTATGTGATTTTCCTTGCTTTGAACTGACTTATTTTCTATTATTATAGCTACCAGTATTTCTTTTTCTGTTTATATTGAACATATGTTTTTTCTTCCTTGTAATTTTAACCTGCCTGTATCATTAAATTTGATGACAGTTTTTCAAAAGTAACATGTCACTGGATCATGGTATTTAATACATTCTTATAAATTTGAAAAGTAGTGCATTTATAGTTATTGACATATTCAGAAGTGTACATTCTCTTATTCGCTATCGGTTTGTTCTCTTTCTTTTGTTTTTGATCCTTGATTTCCTCTTGCCTGCTTTCTTTTGTGCTATCTGAACCTATTCAGTATCCAACCTTAGTTTATATATTGTGGAATTCACTATATCTTTTTATACAGCATTTTTATAGTGGGTGCTGTAAAAATATTCCACATTCAAAGTCTATTCAAACTTAGCATTTCACTACTTCAAGTGGAATATAAAATATATCACAAAGATCCAGCCATAGTGGAACTTAGGCAGCTAGGCAAGAAAGCAGTTCGCCGCCCTTCTGGTAAGAGGCGTGAGCCAGAAAGAGAACCAGTCAGCATCTCCTGATCTCCAGCGATGATGGAGCTTAGGCAGCAGAGCAAGGAAGCAATTTGCCTCCATTCCTTGAGCCAGGAGGACAACCAGTCCCCCAAGATCCAGTCATGGTGAAACAGGCAGCTGAGTGAGACAGCAATTTGCCTTCCTTCCTGGTAAGCACTCCTGGTGCGAGCCAGCAAGAGAACAGTCAGCCTCTCTGGTGAGTCTACCAGCTGAGAATCAAACATCCCATCCCTTCCTCCCTGCCCACGTAAACAAATGGGGCCAGAGGTCTGAGTATGTCTTGGGAGGATGACCGTGTGCAATACAGCGAATATGAGGGACTGCCTCCTATCTCCTGTTTGAAAGCAAACATTGTTTTCACTATTTTGCTTTGTTCTGATTAATTGTTTTGCTCTATTCAATATTCTTTTTTGATTTGTTTTATAATGTTCTGGTTTTCATTTGATTTGGCTGTTCCTAATTGAATGGACAACTCTTGTGAAGGTAACAAGATATACTATGGCACCTATTACTGTTATCCAGGTATCCTGATGTGGGTTCTGTACCAGTTTTACTGCATTGTCTCGATTGACTTTGTTCTGCCTTGTTCTATTGTATTTTTCTACCTTCAACATAAAATTTAAATATATATATATCACAATGTGGATTTTTTGCCTTTCATTTTTGTGTTGTTTTTGTCATACACATCACATCTGCATAAATGAAAAATCCCACTAGAGTCCTCTTATTGTCTCTTTGCACTGAGGTAACCCAGGTCGACAATGCCAGAGGAGAGAGGTCCCACCTCTGTCTATGGCCAGGACTGAGGTGAACTGCTTGGGAAGGCCCAGAGACCAGAAAGAACACCAGCTACAATGCACAGGAAGACTAGTGGCACCGAAAGTTCACAGTAACACTATGAGGCAACATGAAATCAGCAACCAGCTCGGGAAGAATCCAGAACTCTGTAGCTGTCCTTTTTCTCTCCATATTTTTCATTTGTCTCATTTTATTCTTCATCTTTCTTTTTTGTTTTCTTTCTTTCTTTCTTTCTTTCTTTCTTTCTTTCTTTCTTTCTTTCTTTTTTCTCTCTTTTCTAAAGGATGAGGAGAACACAAAACAGAAAATTAATCCCATTTCCCAAACCGGGAGACCATGTTCAAATAATTCCTAGAATATTCATTCTCTCTTTTCTGCTCTCTTCTGCAGTTTCCCAAACCTCCATGATCATCTTTTGTCTGCCAGCCTTGCTTCCACTTCCTTTCCAGTTATGTTTTATACACTATTTTCCCTAAATTTCCCTACCACTAAGTAAAACCACTCTACCAAAGGGGAACACTTTGCATACAATCTCTTAATTTACAATCAGTTCTGATATATAGTTTATACACCCTGCTCAAAGAAGTGCTCAAAAGGAAAGAACAAGAGAGAAGGAAGAAGGGAACACATTATATGTATATAAGTATACACACACACACACACACACACACACACACACACACAAGATAGATAACTACACTAATAATCTCTGTTAGTTCATTTAAAAGAACAGTTTCTGCTTTCACTGTTTGGTCATTTTTTTCATGCCTAAATCTTCTAACTGAACAGCTACTTCTAAGATAACAATATGCAATACATAAACTTACGTTAATTTCCTACTATTTTTTGAAATTCTGTATAATTTCTATCCTTTCCTCATTTTTAAAATTTAAAAAATTATATAAAAATAATGTTTAGGGGCTGGGGATTTAGCTCAGTGGCATAAGTGCCTGCCTTGCAAGCAGGCAGTCGTGAGTTCGATCCCTGGTACTGGTAAAAATGAAAAAGACAAAAAAATAATAATAATGTTTAAAAAGTATAAAATCAATAGTTACCACAGTTTGTCAGTTTCTAAATTATGCCTGATACTATTGTTGCTAATTTTACTACTTTAGCTTGGATATTGTTATGGTTGGTACACTGTGTCAACTTGAGAAGTTTAAAAGTTTAACTAAGCAACTCAGCAAGGAGCCAGAATACTGACTGTAAACATCCTCATTTTGGCTGCTGTCAAGAAATCAACTGATTATAAATGTTAACGAGGTTGTGAAGCAAAAGAAACACTTCTCTACTGCTGGTGGGAGTGTTGATTGGTGCAGTCACTGTATAAATTAGTATGGAGAGTCCTCAAAAAACTAGGATTGGAAGTTCCATTCAATCCAGCTATTCCTCTCCTGGGTATTTTCCCAGAAAAATTGAAAAGGTCAATGTCTCAGTGATATGTGTGTACCCATGTTTATAGCAGCACAATTTGTAATAGCTAAAACTTGGAAACAACCAAAATGCCCATCAATCACAGAGTGAATGAAAAAAAAAATGTAGTATTTTTATACAATAGAATACTACTCAGCTGTAAAAAAGGATGAATTTGAGGCCTTTACAGGTAAATGGAGGCAACTTGAGACTATCTTGATCAGTGAAATAAATCAGACTCACATTTGTAAATATCATATTGTCTCTCTAGTATAAAAATAATAAAAAACTGAAAGAGTAATAAGATCCAAGGTATATAATAGATATCGTGATAATGAAATGGAAAGAAAGTGCTCTAGCATTATGGTAACCATTGTTGATAACCTTGTACTCTGTTTTTACATCATGTACTATGTCTATCCTTGGTTTTGACTGACAGCTTTGTTTTGCCATATTTGACTTTATTCTCTTCCAAAAAAAAAGTAATAAGAACTAAGAAGTAATAAAACCCCAAATGTGTAAATTTTGTTGTAAAAAAGAGAGGGAAAAAAAGTGCTCTAAAGGATACGACTGCAAGTGTGTTTAGGGGTGTTAAATAGATGACCATATTAATGTTTTTGGTTGGATCATTGAACACAACTGTTTGCAGTCTCACTGTTTGAATGTTTACTTTGTATGCTTTGATACTGTTACTTGAGCAACTATCTCTAAGATGATAATGTGTAATCTATTAACTGGTGATTTCTTACTTTTTTTTTTTTTGTAGTTCTGTATTACTTGTACCCTTATACCGCTTTGTTTTGTTTTGTCTTTTCTCTTTTTCCTTTTAAATAAAATTTAAAAAAAAAGAAAGTGCTCTAAAGTATATAACTGTATGTATGTTTAAGTGTGTGTAGTATGTGATAACCATACTAAGCTTTTGTTAGTTCATCAAACAGAATATTTTATACTGTCATTGTTTGTCTACTTTTTATGCTTTGATTTTGTGATTTGAGCAACTACTTCTAAGATAACAACATGTAATTTACCAACTAGTGATTTCTTACTGTTTTTTTTGAAATTCTATATTATTTCTACCATTTCTTCTGTTTTGCTTTTTTCCTCTAAATAAAGCAAAATAAAAAACCAAAAACCAAAACAAAATAAAAAAATTCCTCATTCTGTGCAAGAGGAGGGCAAGGAGATTTTGTGAGTGCTACACTGGGCCTTGAGAAGAGGTGGCCTGAATACAATATAAAGGAGGAAAAGAGGCTTGTTTTTCCCCTTTTGCTCTAGCTTATTTTTCCGGCTATTGCCTTGAAACATTGCCCCAGTGCTGTGTCACCTTCTGTTGGAGCCACTTGATTATTTACCAACTGTGAACTAAATAAACCTTTCTTTCCTTAACTTTGGGTGTCAGGTATTTTTCCCAGAAACAAGAGAACCAAGACACATGTCATAGCTGTTACAATCAGTTATTCTCCCTTCTTAAACAGTACTGGGAAGATCTGGGTTAACAACCTCATCACAGCCTTACACCAAAGCACTGGGAGTGAACCAAACAGGTACAACACCTCACTCTTAATTTGTAAAGTTGAATCTTATAATAGAAACAAATCAGGAATCTCCTACACAGAGAAGACATCTCTGAAGAACAGCCTTTGCCTAGAGAAGTCTTGATGCTAGTGATATAGATATCAAAAACCCCACAAAGATCATCACGGGAAACAAAATAAATTTTTTAAAATAGAAAATGACAAGGCAAAATAGCAAAATGCAGTCTCAAACCTCCAGTCTACCCATAACAAGTCCAGGAGACATCAGCGCAGAAGAAATGAAAAGACATACACCTGAAATTTCTGAAATGATAGCAACCAAAGTAAAGAAAGAAAATCATGAGACTATAAAGGAAATCAGATAAGAAATAATCTCTCAGGTTAAAAATGTGCCATCAATATTTATAAAAAAATTGCTTAGCAAATACAGAGTAGAACTAGATTTTAAAAATACATTATGAAAGGAAAAGGATGGAAACAGTGAATGATAAATATAGGAAAGAAGTAGAACGCATGTAACAGGTTCAAACAGATATTCAGGAAATTAAAAATTTCATTGAAAGGCATAAAAACCAATGAAACTGACTTTCAGATTTGAATGAAATGGAAGACATATTTTCAGACATTGAAGACAGAATCATGACTAGCAATCATGAAGGGAAAGATCTCCTGAAAATAGCAAAAGATCAGGAAATAATTCAACACCTGCAAAATGATGCAAACAAAATAATACAAGAATAACTGATGCCAATGAAACAGCAAAAGTCAACACAAATGATATAAAAAGTTAACACAGAGAAGTAATAGCAGAAAATTTCCCCAGCATGGGGAAAGAATTTGACATACAGATAAGTGAGGCATGTAGAGTTCCAATTAGCCATAACCAAAGTAAATGTACACTCAGACATATGATAACCAAGATCTCAGAAATTCAACACAAGAACGGAATATTAAAAGCTGTTAGAGAAAAGAAGCAGATCACCTATAAAGGAAAGCCCATGAGAATCACAGCAGGTGTCGCAACACAAACCCAAGTCTTCAAGTCAAGAAGAAATTTGAAGTCTGAAAGACTTCTAACCCAGAATGGTGTTCCCTAAAAAATCTATCTTTCTCAACTATTAAAGGAAAAATAAGACATTTCCATGACATAGAACAACTGAAGAAATTCATAACCACAAAACCAACACTACAGAGGCCACTGAAAGACATTCTAGATAAAGACAAACTGATTGCAATTCCAAGAACAACAGAAAGAAGTCTCAAAGTAGGCAGGCAATTAAACAGAGGGAGAAATTAGGGAACCAACAGAAGGAAAATAACATGACAAACACAAGCCAATACATATCAGTTATTACCATAAACGTAAATGGTCTCAATTCACCAATCAAAAGAAAGAGACTGGCAGAATGGGTCAAGAAACAAGATCTAACAATATGCTGCATACAAAAAACACATCTAACTAAAAAAAAAAAAAACCTCATAGACTAAAAGCAAAAGAATGGAAAACAATACTCCATGTGACAGGAACCTAGGGAAAAAAAATCATGGGTATGATTCTGTTTGTAGACAGTGTGAACTTTAAATCAACAATGATCAAAAGAGACAAAGAAGATCATTATGCACTTGTTAGGGGAAAAATTCAAGAGCAAGCAATAATAATCATAAATATATATGCACCAAATCTAGGAGCACTCAACTATATAAGATGAATATTAATAGACTTGAAAAATTAAATAAACAATAACATGGTTGTAATGAGGGACCTTAATATCCTTTTGTGACAAAGAGATAGAGCAACTAGACAAAAAAAATCAGCAAAGAAATAACAGAAAGGAACCAAACTTGTGAATTAATGGAATCAGTACATGTTTAGAATATTCCATCTGACATCAGAATATGCACTCTTCTCAGCTATACATGAGATGTTCTCTAAAATAGACAATGTACTAGATCATAGAACATGCTTAAGTAAATGCAAAGGAATGGAAATTATCTCATGCATATTATGTGGCCATAGTGCAATAAAATTGGAAATTATTGACAAAATAAACCACAAAGCTGTATAAACACATGGAAATTTAATAACACCATGTTGAGCAACCAATGGTCACAGAGAAAATTAAAGAAGAAATGAAAGAATATCTACAGTCAAGTGAAATTTCAGATAAAACTTACCAACTTCCAGAAAGAGCAAGTCAAGCCCAAAGCTGATAAAGTGAGGAAATTATAAATATGAGACCAGAAATTAATGCAATTGAGGTTAAGAAAACAACACAAAGAATTAATGAAGAGATGATTCTTTGAACAAATAAACAAAATTGATAAACCC